CACACTGCACTTTCTAATAAGAGCCAGCAACAGCTCTGCATGCGGTGTTGTACTCCACCACCCTGAAAATCCAGAGAGCTTTCTGCTTGTAGTGAGGGAGTGGTGTGTCTGATCTCATTCAATTGTTTGTGAAATCGGTAAAGCTATTCAGCTCTAATCACAAAAATGATTCAGATCTATTCACCTCATAGTAGTAAAATCGGCTCTCTGAAACATTTTAAATTTTAAATCTAGCCACCTGCTGGCTGCAGAATATTCATTTGTATTATTAGGTGAATACCTGACTAAATTGACGTTACAAAATATTTTGATTTTGTTCTGTTTGCGTGACCAGTAAATATAAAATTTTTCACAGACAGGACAATAAAGAAAGAACTCACGACTATGGAGTGAATAGCCCCAATTCGCGCACATGCCAACATTGCCACCCACCAACTCGATCACCATGGGCATGTATATGGACACGCGATCTCCTTTTTTAACACCTAGCAAAACAAGATTATTGTCCCAGATTATTACATGTCAGGTTGCTTACATACCGATTTAAAAATACAAATCATATTGAGATTTATTGATCCAGCATTTTGTTCGGTCCAGTATTATCACAGAAATGTAACCATTTTACCTCCGGAAGGTCGTACCCCCTTCTTAACCTTGGCACTTTTTGCTATTCGGCACTGCCTACTTTAACTGGCAATTGCAACACTGTACCCAAATTAAATTTATAAAAAAAAATTCAAACAAATACAGCTTTTTTTTCTAGTGATATTTGATCACCACTGTGAAATTGTGAAAAAAATATTTTCTACTCTGTTATAAAACATCCAATGAAAAAAATACGGTAATACCTCGGTTTACGAACACCTCTTAACATAATTTTTCGGTTTACGAATGTAAATCCATTGAAAATAATGCCTCGGTTTACAAATTTTTTTACTACTTTTTTCACAATACAAAGTATATGTTCGTGCTGATTTTTAAATGCAATTGCCATCTTTTTTTTTTCTTCACTATAGCTCACAGAATTAGCTGTCACTTTCCCTGGAGATAAAGGATACTTTGTATCTTTTAAGAAACTGAAAGGAAACATTGTTTTTTTTAACTTGGGGAAATGAACTAAAGAAATTTTCTCTCTTTTAGCTGGAGGGGGAAAGTGACAGCTGAATTTCTCAACTACTGTATAGTGAAGAAAAAAAAAAATTGGTAATTACATTTAAAAACTGGCACCTAACATTTGAGTGTAAAAGAATCTCTGGCAATTAAAACTTTTTTTTTTTTTAATTGCCGGCAATTCTTTTACATTCAGCTGTCAGTGGGGAACCCCGCTGACAGCTGAAACATGAACACATGGTTGTCACTACTAAAATACCGCATGAGTTAATAAAATAACTCATGTGGTATTTTAGTAGCGTTTACTGTTTTTCTGACCTTCGTAACGGATTAATTGATTTTCAATGCAAGTGTTTCGGTTTACGTATTTTTTGCTATACGAAATGTCCTGCAGAACTAATTAAATTCGTAAACCGAGGTATATTCAATAATCAAATTTCTTCATAAATTAAGGCCAAAATGTATTCTGCTACACGTCTTTGGTAAAAAAAAAAATTCCCAATAAGTGTAAATTGATTGGTTTGTGTGAAAATTATAACATCTACAAACTATGGTATATTATACTGGAATGTATGCAGATATGACGCTATACTGGTAAGGACAGTGATCAGTGACTGTGATAGTGTGACGGGTAATCTGGCGCTAGCTTACGCTGGCTGGGAGGTACACTGACATCAATAGTGCCACGAATACAGTAATCAGTGCTAATACTGTGCACAGTCACTGTACTAATGATACGGTTTGGGAAAGGGTTAACATCTAGGGGCAATCAAGGGGTTAATTGTGTGCCTAACAATGTGTAATGTGTGTGCTTACTATATTGCTGTTTTTTTCCTCTGCTTTTTTCTCTGCACTGCAGGGAGAATAAGCAGGCAGATCGCTATTTCCTGTACACAGAGTTCTCTGTTTTGTTATACACAGAACTGTGTGTGTGATTTGGCTGAAATCAGCTGCCAAACTCGTGCCAATTACAGCTCAGGCCGGCAGGGGGCGCGCACATGCGTTCGCCCCGAAACCGAAAGAAGGCTGATCATGTTCATATACATGACCGTACCTGCACCAGCTGCCCACTCCCAGTATACTCACTGTGAGCGGTCGGCTGGTGGTTAAAGATTAATCCCAGGCATGCTAGATTTTGACATCGTTCAGCTGGACATTGGTCCAGCTTGAGGACATGTAATGTTACCGCAAGGCCCACTTTAAAAACGACTTTAAAGTAGTTCTTCCTTTAAACATTTCCAAATGTAAAACAGTTTTCCATACATCAAGAAACGGGTAGTAACATTTCAGTTGTGTACCTTGGTCACGTAGAACATTGGCGAACTGGCACACCTTCTTCAGGAGATCAGCATATGTGATGGACGTAGCGTCTCCCGGCTCATTACCTTCCCTGCAAGACAATCCAGCACAACATCAATATCCTGACTGGCTAAGCGTCAACCGGAACCATCTCTGCGATGTTCTCCAATCTGTGCTTCTACTGCTCATGGCATGTCAACAGCAAGCAACAGTGCTGAGGAGGAGGTGGGCACAGACATATTATTTGTGATAAGCAGGAAGCCTAAAAACTGGTTAGATTTCAGGGTTTTATCAGTACCTGAATTAAAAAAAAATCCATCTTTTAATCAGACTGTGGATCAGTTTATTGTTGTGATGCTGTTTTGCAGTAGCAAGGAAATATCATCCACACCACCCTCCAGAAGGACCATACCATCAACTTCACCCTCCAGAAGGACCATACCATCAACTTCACCTTCCAGGAACACTGTACTGTCCACACTACCCTCCAGAAGGACCATACCATCAACTTCACCTTCCAGGATGACTGTACTAACCATGCCACCCTCCAGAAGGACCATACCATCAACTTCACCCTCCAGAAGGGCCATACCATCAACTTCACCCTCCAGGACGACTGTACTAACCATGCCACCCTCCAGAAGGACTGTACCGTCAACTTCACCTTCCAGGAAGACTGTACTGTCCACTACACCCTCCAGAAGGGCCATACTATGAACTTCACCTTCCAGAAGAACTGTAATATCCACTCCACCCTCCAGAAGGACCGTACCATCAACTTCACCTTCCATGAAGACTGTACTATCCATGCTACCCTCCAGAAGGACCGTACCGTCAACGTCACCTTCCAGGAAGACTGTACTGTCTACACCACCCTCCAGAAGGGCCATACCATGAACTCCATCCTCCCGCAGGGTAAGGCCACCTGCTCCATCCTTCAGCATGGCCATACCACCTACACCTACACCACCCTCCAGCAGGACAGTACCATCAGCCCCAGAGTCCAGAAGGGCAGTACCATAAGCTCCACCCTCTTCAGCAAGCTCCCTGTCCATCATATCAATTTTAAAGCCTGATTCACTAACCAAAATCAAGTCCACAGATCAGCAGGTCTCATTTCATTTGCTGCATGCTTATGGCACGTTGTCTTACAAAGTACTATATACAATCGGGAAACTATCATTTTCGTGAGGAGTTCAGCCATGTCACCATCCATTTCTGTTTGGACAGATTACTTTTAAAAATTGTATTTAAAGCTGAAATTAATGGGATTCATCCACTTTGTGAAATCTGCCGGATAACTAAGCCACTTCATAGACATATCTATTTAATGTACAGTTGACATTTTTACTGAGCGCCGGGAGCACAGCTATTGCTATACTTCCAGTGCTCTGATGCTGGACCTTGGGATCTCAACAGTCACATGTAGCTGCTATGCCCACCTCTCCCCTCCTCCTGCCCAATCACAGAGTGCTTTGTATTATGTGAACCCATTTATAAAATACAAAGTCTTCTGTTGCACAGAGAGGGGAGGTGGGGGCAGGCAGGGGTACTGTGTATGAGAAGACAGTGTCTCTCCTATCAAAGCGACGGGAGTGTAGCCATAGCTGTACTCCTGGTGCTCAGCAAAACCGCCAGTAGCATCCATCTCACTGGATATAACTCCATAGTTAGCCAAAGATTTTGTTACATGGCTGAATTCCTGTGCAGCGTTAAAGTGATACTAAACACACATTGTTTAATTTACATAATCCCTTTCGCTTTCTGTATGTGCACGATGGCCCTGGAATTATTTTACTAAAAAAAAAAAAAAAAAAAACGGAAAAAACAAAAAAGAAAACAAAAGGAAAAAAAAAAAACAATCAATATACAGCTGTCACATGACCCAGGTCCAGGGAAACAGTGGCAGGAGGGAGCTTCTAGTCCTCTGCTGCTGGTCACATATTTAAAAAAAAAAAAAAAAAAAAAAAAAGCCTTTGGAATTCTGCATAAAAATGTATAATGATAAACGGTTTTAAATTGTCATACAAATATATATTTGAAATTAAATCTTTATTATTTTTTGGCTGTAACTTGGTAAGGACGGCCTTGAGACCGTGACAGCCTGTGTCACACCCCTCCAGCCTGTGTCTTATAAAAACAGGGAGGTGAAGCCTCCATCCATCAAGATGTAACATCCCACCCCCCCCCAAATTCTGTTTAGCTGGCCAGTGGGCATGGAGGAGGACGGAGTGGGCCATCATTTACCACTGTGTATACGCCCACATGCGTGACTCTGTAGTCACATAGGCTGCTCAGATTTGATAGGGATGCAATTCGCAGCGTAGAAACTCAATGAAAACTGGGCATGTGCAGTAGCTGCCTACACTGCTCTGCAAAATCCCCAACTGCAACGGGGACATGGACAGGAGGAGATAGAGATCAGCAGGATCAACCAGGTTTTTTGCAGAATACTGAAAAATGAATTCCATAGTAAATGAGTATGAACAGCATTTATTGATAGTTTTATCGATTAGTTATTAATGGAATTAATAGTTTTATTGATTATTAATGGCATTGATAGTTTTATTGATTATTGATTGATTATTAATGACACCTTAAAGCTTTTAATGTTTAGATTGAATAGGGAGTGGTTAAAACCCCTGTGATATTGGCCCCCACCCCATTGTAGATTTGGCTTCACTTCCTGTTCCAGAGACACCAATGGAAACTTTTGCGGAGTGGGAGTCCGCAGAACAAGTGTTCTCTTTGGATGGATTCCGCTTATTCTTCATCCAATGAGCAACATAAAATGTTAGGCCATCCCTTTTATGTCCTGTAATAATGCTCTCCAGAACAAAGATGGGAGGAGTCCCCCAGAGGAGCATTCTCTACACAGCTTGCTCAAAGCCCCGTCATTATGTGAGGACTCTCATAGAACAGTATGTATCACTAGGGCTGCACCCATCACTCAGTCATTTGTATACAGTAAACATAGAAATATTACATGTATACAGAGGACATGAAACCATCTCCATTGTTGGGACTGAAGAGGACCAGATTGTACTTGCCGTGTGGGCAAACATTAATGTTTGTTATGTAAACCACCACGAAGTACAGAACTGCCACTTACCCCGAGGGGTGCGGGTCTTGTGTTACAAATGAGCCCAGCAGGACTCCATAAATAACAAGGATCCACCAACCTGGAACGGATATTTCAGGGCTTTGTAGTTAAAGTGGAAACTCCAGGAAAAGAAAAAGTACAAACAGGACAAATGGAAAAAAAAAAAAAAAAAAAAAACAAAAAAAAAAGGGACTTCTAATGATCAGTCTCCTTGGACTGAATGGCTGCTGCTTACTGTAAAAAAATGACAGTTTGATTCTAGTTGGATACTGCAATCAGTGCTTCTCCAGCACTGCAGGTGACAGTTCTGGTTGGTGTACAGTGCGGGAATTGCACCACTCTCCCCTCATCCATTCACACAAAAAAAAAAAAAAAAAAAAATCATTGTATTGTGTTCACTGAATGCAAAGCGTTCTGTGAATGGATGGAGGTCCTGTCATTTACAGAATGCCTCGTATTCAGTGAACACAATAAAAGGCATTCTGTGAACAACGGACGTGGGGAGATAGGATCCCCCCTCCTCCACTCACAGAACGCCTTTTATTGTGTTCACTGAATAAGAGGCATTCTGAAAATAAGCGTAAGTGACAGGACCCCCCTCCATTCACAGAACATTTTGCATTCAGTGAACACAATACAGTGATTTTGGTGAAAGGATGAGGGCAGAGAGGGAATGATGCGATTCCCCCCCCCCCCCACTGTACTGTGAGTGGAGGAGGGGGGATCCTGTCTTTCCATGTCCCTTTTTCACAGAATGCCTTTTATATTGTGTTCACTGAATACGAGGCATTCTGTAAATAAGCATAAGTGACAGGACCCCCCTCCATTCCCTCTGCTCTCATCCATTCACAAAAATCACTGTATTGTGTTCACTGAATGCAAAATGTTCTGTGAATGGAGGGGGGTCCTGTCACTTATACTAATTTACAGAATGCCTTGTATTCAGTGAACACAATAAAAGACATTCTATGAACGGACATGGTGAGACAGGATCCCCCTCCTCCACTCACAGTACAGGGGGGGGGGGGGGGGATCACCCCATTCCCTCTGCCTTCATCCATTCACAAAAATAAACTGTATTGTGTTCACTGAATGCAAAATGTTCTGTGAATGGAGGGGGGGTCCTGTCATTTACTCTTATTTACAGAATCCTCGTATTAAGTGAACACAATAAAAGAAGTTCTGTGAACGGATGTGAGGAGACAGGATGCCCCCTCCTCCACTCACACTTTTACTAAAACTGATGCATCTCTGTGTGGCAGCCAACCAGCTTCTAAACTTCAGCTTGTTCAATTAAGCTTTGGCAAAAATACCAGCAAGCGGACTGGTTACTAAGCAGAGCTTCACCAGATTTTGCACTCTCCAGTTTTAGTAAATCAGCCCCAATGCCTTGCAATCAGCGAACAGAAGTGAGGAACGATGTCACGGAGATCCCACTACTGGACTATAGAACACCTAAGAAAAAAGGGGACAACTCATCCCACCGTGTCCCACCTAGAAATGGAAACCTTTCCACCTTGCAGGTTGGGCCCCTTCACCTTCCGCCTCACTTCTAGGTGATCTGACCCCATAAAGCTTTCCTATTGTTTTGTAATAAGCAAAAAGCAATAAACCTGAAAAAACAAGGAGGAATACCAGAAGTACTGATGGCTTTGGTGCCGACATATATCAAGCCATCCAGAGGCAGCTTTCCAGTATCTGAAAAACAAACATTCTGAAGAAATGACAAAATGACATGTTTTCTATAACTTATCTTCATTCAAAACAAAATACGCTGCCAGCAATCCGCTCCGCACTGACAGGGAGCTGACAGCACTCTGCGGATGGGAAGTGTACAAGGTTACACCTTGCTAGTCAGCGTCTTGTACGAAGCAGCCTAGCGAGTCCGCTAACCGCGCTGCATACTGATAAATATCCCGCCCATCTTATCCACCACTGGAAGGATCTCGTCATCGGCCAGAAAATATATAAATCTATGAGATTTTTAA